AGTACTGGCTGCTCTTCCAGAGGGTCTGGGTTCAATTCCCAGCACCCACATGGTGGCTCACAACCATCTGTAAACCTAGTTCCCGGGAATTTGACATTCTCTTCTGGCATTTACAGGTACCCGGCATGCACATGGTACATAGACTTAAGTGCAGGCAAAACACCCACACACATAAATTAAACTAAAAAGTTTAAAGAATTACAAGCAAGGGTTATCACTTATCAAGTGTTTATAGCATGGGTACCCTGCAATCATTTTCTAGTTGGGGGTATCATATTTGATGATCTTTATAGACATAAAAACTAAGGCTCAAAAAGTTAAGGACACCACCAATATGCCAGCAGGTACCTTTTTATTACCATTCCTAGACACAGACTCTGAGACTCAAAATCTAATTAAAAAGTGACAAGTTCAATCAGTGGGCTAGTATGCCCAAAGAGCCAGCAGAGTCCCTTAGTTTAGAGACTGGGGGTTCTGAGGCACTTTCTGCTGACAGCATGGGTTAGGCAGGCCAAAGGGACAAACTTACTTGCCATCTGCTAGGTTGAGGCCTCGGAAGACCGGCTGAGAGGCGGCTTGTGGCCGTCCCCTCTGGTCCTCATACAGGAAGCGGACTGGGCGACCGAGCTCAAGGCCCAGCTGCTGGACTCCCTGGACACTATATAGAGTGAAGAGGGGAGCCTGGAGGCCAGGGCGGGTCCGGACAACAGTCATCAGAGAGAAATCTCTGGGAAAGCCTCCTGGTACCCCAGAGAGAGAGAGGGATACAAAGATGGAGTGAGAGGTGAAGAGATCCCAAACTTCCCCTCCCCACCTTCTGTCTCACTGCTCAAACCTGGGAAGAGCTGGCGGGTGGGTGCACTGAGCTGGGCAGGTCGTGACACACGGTAGGCTACATCAGATGGACAGACCCCTTTTGACTTCCGGACACCATCAGGAAGGGAGGGGAACCTCAGGGCTCGCAGTACATCCACAGAGGGTGCACCTGGCAGAGTTGGGGCTCAAGTCAGGGCACAGAACATGTCTCAGGGATGGTCTCAATGGGGAACACCCAGATCTCCTACTCAGTCTCCCTTACATTCTCCTGAAAGGACCCTATATGGACGGGAAGCAAAGTGACCCAGAGTGGCAGCATAGCTAGCCCTGGCTGGCATGCAACTGGATGCCCTTACACCCTCGCTCTCCCAGCGTCTGTGTCTCAGACCCACCATCAATCTGTCTCTAAGCTGTGAATCTCAGCTAAGGTCTCTCACTGTCATTCCCTGCCTCCCTCTGTCTCCCCCTCCTTCTCTGCCCCATACTCCTGTGTGTACACCTGTCCGACCCTCCCTCACATCCCTCTTCCGTTTTCCCTTGTCCCCCACACCCTGCCATCTTTTCTTTCTCCCTCTCTCTCCCTCCCTTTTTATATCTCCCAGTTTCTGGCTTCCTGGCATCTGCTTGGTCTCTAGCACAAACAACATCTGGGCAATCGATCATCCTGGGTACAGGGAGGCAGAGGGGCAGCTGTGTAAGAGAGGTCTTCCCACTGCTTAAGTCTGGGTTAGGGTGGGGGCAGGGCAGCTCTGACTGGGCTAAGGAAGGAGATAGAAGAATGGGGTGACCCAGAAGCCTTTGCCCTTAGGTTTGGTGAATAGGTTTGGGAAAGGGGAAGCTCAAGCTGCCACGCAGAGCAGGAGCAGGTCCAGGGCCCCAAGCCATACATCTGTAGATGCCATCAGAGTTCTTGCCCAAACCCTAGGCAAGTTCCCCACACCTGGAACCTTGGTCCTGCCCCTCCATCCCCCACCATCTGACTCCAAAGATTCAAGTGGCCGGCCATCAGCCAGGTAACCTTAGCTTTCAGCTTCCTGGGCCCAAACTCCCAGGAAGCATGCACTTCTCACACCAACCCTCCACAGCAGAGAGCTCCCACAGAGTGTGCTTACAAGTGTTGGTAGAAGTGTGGGGCGGGGCAGAGGCCAGGGCAGTCAGGAGAGCAGAGCTGGGTGGGGTGGATGAGGTGGGGTGGCAGGAGAGAAAAGGCCCTTTGAGTCCAGGAGCTGAGGAAACCGCGACCTTCCCCCGCCCCTGAGGAGCCTGGCCCCCAAGTGTGGTGGCTCTGCAAACACTGACACACAAGGGCAGCTTTGAGAGGCTAAGGTGAGGGAGACAGAGACACAGAGACTCACAGAGACCCCAGGCTAAGGAGATCCCAGAGGTCTCCACCCTCCACCAAAGCCCAGTGGAGGACAGTCCCACACCACACTCACTGCCCACAGGCCTGCCCCCCTCAAGCCACATACTAACCCCACTGTCTCAGGCCCATTGGCACCCATCAATTGCCCTGAGCCCCCAAATGCCCTGTCTTCTACTCTCAGGAACTCTTACACATTTCCCTGGCCTTCCTCCTCCACCCACTCAGCCCCCAAATAAGAGACAGTTATCTTGGTCAGCCCCCTGCACTTCATTTTTCTGTTATTTCTTTGGTCTAATCTATATCCTTTACACTGTCACTCTGCCTATATCCTCCCCAGAGAAGAGAAAACATGAATAATGGAGATATATACAAAATCAGCTCCTGCCCGCACCCCATTCTGGGAGAGAGCTGGTTCCATGCTGCTTATATCCACTACTCCCAGACTCTGCTCTGATACCAAATCCTCTTTTCTAGGAGCCTTTCCTTTCTGGAGGAAAAAGGGGGAAAGATTGGGCCTGTGGACACCAGGGTCCCAGAGGAGTCCGGCTGGCCAGAGGGGGAGGGGAGGGGCAGGAATGCAAAGAGTTGGCTCTGGCCTCAGACACCTGATCCTGGCCTGTCCAGCGGCCGTCCTGTTGGCAGCCAGCCCCGATGCTCCCTAGAGCCAGCCGCGTGGCAGCATCCTGGGCACAGGGAGGGGTTGGGGGACCCAAAGAGGATGGGACAGTGGAAGTAGCCTTCTAGGCTCTGACCTACAGATGTCCATCCTGCTTCCCTTACCCATCAAACCTGGTATTCACTGCCCTGACATCAGCAAAGCCTGGTCAAGTTTGGCTTTGGCCGTCCTTGGGTCCTTCTAAGGACCCAAACCAAGAACCCAGCCTGTTCAGGCTCCGGGCTATGGTCCCCATCCGTTGGTGTTACCTGTCCTTTATCAGTCATTACAAGGAGGAGGACAGTCCCATGTTGGCTCCAAGGAACTCAAGGGGTCATCCTTCATCCTAAACTCTGGTCACCCCAAATCCTTTTTTTAAGACTCAGACGCTCCTACTCTAGGCATCTATGGTTCCCTTCCAGGCAGATTCTCCAACCTCCAGTTGACTGACCCAGGCAGGACTCCTCTTACCTGCCCATCCCGGGGCAGCACTCAGCCCCAGCACCAGAGGTAGGAGCAGTAGGAGACTGTGGCAGCCGCTGCCCGACTCCATGGCTCAGAATGCTGGGTCCAAAACCCAGACAACTCTGGTGCGGACAATAAACAGCAAGTGCTGAGCCTTGGAACCAGGACCCAGGGATGTCAGCAGCTTTCAGCGGTCAGCTCCATGCAGCAAGATGTTGTTGAGGACACCTCTGCTTGCCACAGCTGCTTGCTCCTCAGTGGCCGCTACTGTATGCCCCTGGCCACCCTGGCAGCTCAGAGACCCCAGCTCGCCCCCGCCCCTAAGTCCAGCCCCCGCCTCTAGCTGCCCGCCCACAGTCACCAAGGGGAAACCCCACCCCCGAGCTCCACCTGGGCAAGGGAGTATGGGGGCGAGAACTGTTCCTCACATGCTGCCTCTGGAATAGTGCACTCCTACTTCTGGAGGGATTAGGTGGCCTGTGTGCACCCTCAGATTGTCTTTGGGGGAACAATGTATATTTTCTAGCCCCCCTCCTTTTTAAGACCCTATGATCCAGTCACACAAACGGTCCTAGCCCTTGGGGGACAAGAACCCCTCTGTAGAGTCCGGGAGGGACTCAGGACACAGTGGGACAGAAGGGGCGGGCCTACAGTCGACCGCCCCACGCCCACTCGTAATCAGGTCTCTATAATTACCTCCTTCGTCCCGCCCCATGTAATTACAGAGCAGTCCTGGGCGGGGTGTTTACAGACCCAGCTATAGATAGCGACCCAAACGTGGGGGGGGGCTGCGGAGTCGCCTTGCAGAGTAGAGGCCAGAGATGGGCTAGTTGGCTAATCACCAACTAGACGGAAATACCGGACTGGGAACAACAGCGAAAGGGGGCACAGGACTGTGATGAGGGGGACAGGCGATGGTGCTACAAGGGTCACTCAGGGACATGGCCGCTCCAGAAGGGGAGCGCTGAGACTAGACCAGTGAGCCCCTACGTGCAGGCACAGTGCCGGGTCTGCCCGGGAGCCTGTGGCGCAGCCAGGGAGAAAGCCTGAGTGAGGAGAGCCACCGCCCGCCCGCGAACAAGGCGCCTTTGAGAAGCAGCCGGTCTCCCTCCCCCCGTGGGCAGCCCCGCCCCCAGCCTGGCACACCCTCTCCCCCTCCCGACAAAGCACGCCTTGTATCTCCCACCCTGCACAGCCTCTGCAACCTCAGGGAGCACGGCAGGGTTTCTCCTTGAAAATCCTTACACCTAGGCGATGCCATGGTGCCCACTACCCAGTCACCTCAGTCCAGAAAACAGCTATTTTAACTGGAAAGCAATTTTATGTGTGAGTGAAAGAGGGAGAGGGACCCCCTCTTCCCGCCGAGACCCGGGGCTAAAACCATGCAGCCCAGCACCCATCTCTGAAAGCTGGCTATCCCCACCAATCCTCCCTCCCCAGCCTGTGTGCTGGGGACAGCTGTAAAAAGAAAGGTCACCCAAATCAGCACCCCAGTCACAGCCCAGATCCCTTCCATGGGCCAGCGAGATGAGGGAGGCTGCAGTGCAGAGAGCCACAGACCAACTGAGGGGCCTCCTTGCCCACATACCACTTCCAGCCCTGGCACTGCCGCCATCAACCTGGGGATGTACAGTACTTCTTTGAGTCTAACTCCCAGTCTCTCCTCACAAGAAAATAAAATTAGCCAAGGGTTCCTCCATCTCCACCAGCCCCTTCACCACACCCTTTATTGACAGTCTGACTGCAGGTGCTGCATAAAGGGGCTGACAGGGGGAGGTGGGCACCCTCCCTCTGCCCCATCTGTCAAGTTAGGGGGATGAAGGGCTATCAGCCCTGGCCTGCTCCAAGACATCAGCTGGGGGGGGGGGTCCTGCCCCACAACACCCTTTCTAGAGGAGCTCCACTGCACTCCTGAGAAGGGAGTGAGGCAGAGAGAGAATGGAGCAGGGCCAGTGCTTGTGCTGGAGAGCCAGGACGAGAATCACCCACATCAGGGAGAGCCCGGCAAATTCAGAGACTCAAGGCCACTGAAGGTAGACATGTAGTCATCACAGGGATCTGGGGCCCCTTCTGACTTGCAGACCAGGCAAACCCTGCTCAGGGTCACCAGATCCCTTGCAGGCTACAGAAGTACTCTCCGTCTCTGCACCCTTTGCCCAAGGCTCTGGCTGGGCCCTTGGCCCCTCCCACCCTGCCCAGGTCAAGTCCTCTTCCATGGTGCTCCCCACTGCTGAGGAACACGTGTGTGTCTGGGTTCAGGCTAGCTGGTGGGGAGCCTCAAGCATCTCCATAAGGAAAGTGTCAATAGGGGTGTCGCCGATGAGCTTGAAGAAGAACAGGTGCTCCAGACACTTGAGGCCGATGGAGCGGAGGGCAGGAAGACGCAGCAGCAGCTTGGCAAACCTGAGGTGGGGACAGGTGGGAGTGAGAGCCAGCACCAGCCAGATCCTGGGCATACCCCAGCCTCACTCTGCAGGGCCACAGCCCCGAAGCCCCCCTCACCGGCCTTGCTGCTCGGGGTACTTCTGTTTGCAGTAGGTCTCCAGGGATGCGTAGACCTTCTCCCGCAGGACCTCCACCTCTCCGGGGTTGGAGAGGCCCTTGGCATCTGGGACAGTAAAGGAGGGAGAACAAGGGGAAGAAGGCAGGTGAGGCGAGTCAGGACAGACATGCGGATGGGGCCCTCAGGTTTGTGGGACCCGGTCAGAAGGGGAAGGCATCAGTGAAATGTTTTCTGTCAGGGTCAGCTAAGAGATTTCTGGGTTGAGGGTCTTACTGGGAGTGGGGGAGGCGCTGCTGGAGAAGAGGAAACTCCAGGGCTGCCTTGGGCCGAGAGGCTGGGTGGCCTTTTCTTACCTGGGTTAAACAGAATGATTGCCCGCAGGCAGCCAAGCTCTGTCTTGTCCATCCTCATGTCACGCATTTTGGACACTAGCTCTGTCAGCACCCTGGAGAGGGACCTGCAGGTCACTCAAAGGTCACAGCTCAGCCAGCCTTGGACACGGACCAGCCTATTGCCCCACCCCTTCTAGCTACAGGACAGCCTGGCCAAGGGCCACTGACCGATCAAAGATGGCTCCCACGCCTGCGGAATGGGCTGAGTTTCTGTGAACATGAAGACCTGTGGCCAGGAGGATGCCATCTCGGACATCAATGGACCGATGGGAGAAGGAGGCAATGAGGAGCTCATTCCAGCCTAGGGGCCAGAGGGCACCAAGGGTCAGCAGCCAGACACCAGGCCATGGAATCCAAAGCACAGAGAAATAGTGGACAAGTCAGCAAGTCAAGTCCCTGACCATGCAAGAGAAGGAAGGCTACTAGGGTCACTGAAGGTCAGGAGGACACAGAGGGGTTAAATGTCAAGAGGTCAAAGAGACCCAAGATCACTGACCTGCCCGAAGCAGAATGACCTGGTCATCCAGAGGCAGGGAAGAGAAGTGTGGGATCCTCTTCGCCCACTCAACGAGTGTGAACAGCTGTTTGTCAGCTGCCTGGCAGATGTTAGTCACTGGGTCATTTGGCTGCAGAGACCAGGAGGTGCATGGGAAGGGTGGAGACACCTTCCTTGGCACACGTTTTCACACCCCTCCTTATCCCTTCAAGCCCCATAGGAACCCATCTCTGAGATTCAGACTACTCTCTGTTCTGGACTTTCCAGTGGGACAGTAGAAGCAGAGTAGAGGGCGCAGTCACCCCACATCAGAGACAGACTTTTTGAGACAGGGTCTCACTATGTAGTCCTGACTGGCCTGGAACTCACTCTGTAGACCAGGCCAGCCTTGCACTCACAGAGATCCACCTGCCTCTATCTCCCGAGTGCTGGGATTATAGGCAAGTGCCACTATACCTAGCTTACTTACTTCACACACTGAGAGGCCTTCCAGTTCAGGGCAAGGTAGGTGCAGAGGGGTTGAAGGAAGGGAGGAGGAGAGATAGAGCACACCTGGACTCTTTCCCTAACCCCCACCCGAGGGAGAAGGGATCGACCCCATCACTCACGCTGCTGCCGCTACCCCCGGTTCCCCCGGGACCCTCAACGCCTTGGTCACTCTTCTGCTCCACAGCAAGCTCTGCCTCCAGGATCCTGTCCACAGGCATCTCCTCAGGGGCTCCCCCAGCCCCATCCCCATCCCCATCTTTGTCTTTCCCCCGTTGCCGCTCCTCCTGTACCGCTGTGGGGTGGGGAGAGAGAAATGCAAAATTAGAAGCCAGCTATGAGGGTCTGAAACTGGCTTGGGGCCTTCTCAGGGCTGATGTCCCTTGGGAGATACAGAAACTGGAGATGGTTAGAAATGGAAGGCTGGGGTAATCGGAAAGCAAAGGGTTCTCGGTGAGAGCACCTGCCAAGCATACACGAGACCCCAGGCTCTATCCCCATTACCACAAATAAATACACATGTAAGTAAAGAGGCAGATAAACAGTTCCAACTGGCAATATAAGGGTGAAAGAATCAGAGAAGAAACTGCATTTAAATGGGGCTGATTGGGCTGGAGAGCTGACTCAGTAATTAAGAGTACTGGCTGCTCTTCTAGAGGTCCTGAGTTCAATTCCCAGCAACCACATACATGATGGCTCACAACCATCTGTAATGGGTGATGTAGGCATATATGCAGGCAAAATACTATGTACATAATAAATATATTTTAAAAAGTATAGGGCTGATGATATGCTTAAAAAAAAAAAAAGCTACCGGGCTTTAACATGTACTAGAGTGTCTTAACGGCGTTGTGGGTTCCTGCCCCCCCCCCCCATGTTTAAGGATGAGGAACCTGAGGCTACAGACATTAAATAGGCCCTAAATTCACACAATACACAGCCAGTTACACATTTGACTCCAGACATGCCCGATGGCAAACCCTGTGCTCTGCTGACTCAAGACGATGTCATGATCTTGGTGACCCAGGTCTCTGAAGGTATGTGTTCTGAGTCTAGTCCTACCATCTGCTATTGTGTGACCTTGGGAAAGCCGAGATTCATGTTCTTTAACGAGGGATCAGACCAAAAATAAGTCCTAAAGTGTCTCCTAGAATTCCAGGGATCAGGCTTACTTAGAGAAAGAAGCAAGATCCCAAGACCTGACCTTTGCAGTGATTCTTGAGGCCAGGCCAGAGGAAGAACATAGAATCAAACTGAGAAAGGTGATGTGTGAAGTGGAGAAAAGAGAGCAGAGGCCAGTCCTGGGTAAGACCAAAGCATGATGGGAGGGTGCATAGCACCATAGGGTTAACCCTGAGGAGCAACCACTAAGATTAGAACTAAACTCAGAGACAGAGCAAGGCACCCAGGCACCTCACCAAGCTGAGGATAGGAAAGAGAAATAAGAAACTTCACTCCCTGGAGGGAGAAGGGAGGGAGGGAGAGCACAGTCCCACAGATAAGGAGGCCAAGGGATCCTTCAGCAGTCCCATTACTCCCCTGGGCTCTCCCACAGTCCCATTACCCCCCTGGGCTCCCAGAGTGGAAGAAGGGCTTGTGCCTGCTGGCCTGGCTGAGGCAGGTCCTTACCCTCCCTTTTCATGCCAGTGGCCAGGCACTTCTGATAGCGACAGTACTGACATCGGTTCCGCTGGCGCTTGTCAACTGTGCAGTCTTTGTTATCGCGGCAGGAGTAGGTCAGGTCCTTCCGAATGGTGCGTTTGAAGAAGCCCTTGCAGCCCTCACAGCTGTAAACTCCATAGTGCTTGCCTACAGGGGGAGACTCCGTGGCAGGAAGCAAGCCTCAGAAGACCTCCCATTACCGAGTCTCTTGACAATCAGCCCATGGGGATAACTAAGTCTAAATCCTCCCCAAATATAGAGCATCAATCACACCAAAGGTGAGAGAGAATTCAGTCTACTCCTCAGCAACCAGAGCCTCTGTACCAGCCCCTTTCCCTGACTGGCCCTACCTGCATTTGCTAAGGTCCCATGGGTCTCCTTGTTCTGACTAACCTCAAGAAGCCATGGCAGCCTCAGGAAGCCAAGGGCGGTGATAAACAGCACATATTCTTTCCTCACCAACACCTGTGCTGAGCCCCATACCTGAGCTTCGGTCCCCGCAGATTGCACATAGCCGCTTGCCAGCCCCAGGGCCACCGGGAGGGGGTGGACAGTGCAGGCCCCGGACCCCTAGGACCGGTGGCTTCACATCTTCAGCGGGTCCAGACCCACCCCCAGGGAGCGACACTGTGGAGTTAATCTGGGGTGGAGGAAACAGGGAAATCACAGGAGGCTCATTTGGAAGAAGAGGCTCAGGTGTCTGGAAAATCAGTCCCCTGTATGACTACGTACTACAGAGGGTACTATTGTGGTTTAATATCAAGGGCCTTTCCTGAAGTATCACACCAAGCATGGATATCCATCCACCCTTCCGCAATTATGCAACACAGCAGCCCTGAAGGGCACATGTCTTGGAAGGGCAGAAAGTCACTGTGAGCTGAAAAGGACATCACAGGTACTCCCTTTGGGATTCCAGTCTTTGTTCGTTTTCAAATAGGGCTAGGAAGAAGCATGCACCAAAACAAGACTTCACTTCAGGAAGAGCAAGGTCTGGGACCACAAGCTTGCTAGGACTGGAAAACCAGAAAGGCCAATGGGTCATGGGGAAGTTCACCAAAAGACGGTGGAAACCAGGAAATGAAAGCAGAGAAACAATAAGTAGGTCACAACCTCTCACCTGAGGGCTGCTGACAGGCCCGGAGAATCCTGGGGGAGCCGGAGGGGGCAGACCAGGGGACCCCATGGAAGAGCTGATGACTGGGAAGGGGGAGCCCAGTGGAGGGGGTGGCATTGGAGGCGGGGGTGCCGAAGGGGTAATAGGGGGACCAGGAGAAGAGGGAGGGATCCCCTGGGAAAGGGGATTTGGGGAGGAGCTGTCTGGGCTTCGGGAATCTGAGAGGGAGGTACACACAGGCACACACAGACAGGAGAAACAAGAAGAGAAAGTTGAGTCTTTTGATCATCCAAATGGACACTTTAATTCTCCCTGACCCACCACACCCCCACAATCCCTGAGTTTAGAAATAGAGAGTTGTCAAACAATTCCTCTAGTAATAGCCGCGAGGGGAGGCAGCTAACCAAAGAGGCAGTTCAGGCGGAGACTACCGGGTCATCCGAAGCTGACCTCGGGGGTGGAGAAGCACGTGCGGTGGACCAGTGTAGCCCTCGTTCCCAACTGAGAACACTCGGGGCAGAGAGTACGGAAGGGATGCTCGGTCCCGGGGCGCAAGCTCGGCCCTCGGACGCCCCGAGTCCTCCAGCCCAAGGGGAACAGTGTCCTTCCCACGCCCGGTACCTCGCACGCAGGCCCGGCGCGCCGCACCTGGAGGGCGGAAGCTCCCCCTGCCGCGCCGCGCCCCGCCCCGGGGGAGGGCGCTGGGCCTCGGGAGGGAGAGGGCGCGTGTTTACAAACAAGGGGGCGGGAGCGCCGGCCGGGACCCACGGGACACTCACCCCTCCCGCTGTCGCCCATCCCGTCCCGGCCAGCCTCCCCCGGCTCCGGCTCCAGCTCCGGCTCCGGGGTTTGCTGCTCTCCGGCCGCCGCGGGATCCAGCCAGGGCCGCCGCCGCCGCCACCGGGACGCGACCCCACAATGCATCTCTTTTCTCACCCCCACCGGCCCACACTGCCCCGCGGCATGCCGCGGCGGGAGGAAGGGCGGACGAGCCGCCCAAGACATGACGCCGGGGCCGAGGGTGGAGTTGCCGGAGAGGGACGCGCAGGGGGCTGAGCGGGGGGCCTCGGGGACCGCGAGGGCACCTCCGAGGACGATGGGCTCGAGCCTGCGGCAGCGCGACTCAGGCGCCGCGCTCGGCTCGGCCCCGGAGTGACAGCACCGCTGAGGCCGCCATCTTGGTACAGACGGGAAGTCTCGTTGCGAGGTCCCGCCCCCTGGCCGAAGGGGGGGAACGGAGGAGGCGGGCCCTCCGTCCGTCAACGCTCTCGCCCGTCGTGCCCTCAGATGACCCCGGCTCTGCGCATGCGCGTTGCTTACACGGCCGCTCCGCACCGGGGCGCCGCCATGTTGGTAAAGGTAGCGGGGTGCAGCCATTTAAAAAAAATAAATAAAAAAAAAAAAAAAAAAAAAAGGAACTTCCTGATCTCGCGGGAGCTCGAGTCGTGACTGCCACGTCCCAGCACACCGAGAGGATCCCGGAGCCGGTGAGCCGTCCCTGCTGCTCCCTGACGGTGCTTGGCAGGCCTTTCCCCCAAGCTAGTGGGTCATAGAGACGAGGGCCCAGAGAGAACGTCACGGAGCGGATCAGAGGCTAGAGCGGTATCGGTGGTGGGGGGGGGGGGAGGCCTGCATCCGGGTAGGGTGTCCCGGGACAGAGAACCCGCCGGGGGGACAATGTAAGAGGGGAGCAAAGCCATAGAAGTGGTCGAAGGGCACGAGCGGAGCGGACCCCGCATAGGTAGAGCCGGGAGTCAAGTAGAGTCGTTGTCTCTGTCCCCCTGGTAAGCGTGATGGCCAGGGGCCTCTGGGCCCCCCACTGGGTGGCTGTGGCTCTGCTGGCCTGGGCGGCTTCGGGGCTGCTGGTGGCCGGACACGGGGGTCATGGTGACCCACACAAAGACGTAGAAGAGGATTTCCATGGCCACAGCCACGGGCACTCACATGAGGATTTCCACCATGGACACAGCCATGCCCACGGCCATGGCCACACTCATGAGAGCATCTGGCACGGGCCTGCCCACAGCCACGATCATGAACATTCGAATGAGGACTTGCACCATGGCCATAGCCACGGCCACTCCCACCACTCCCATGATAGCCTCCACCACAGAGGACATGGACATGCCCATGAACATAGCCATGGAGCCACTAAGGAGACTCGGGCTCCAGGCGCCAAACACCACCTGGACACTGTCACCCTTTGGGCCTATGTGAGTCCCCAGGGGATGTGGGGAAGAGGGACCGGTTTTTAGTCATTGGAAAATTCGGTGTTTGACTTGTGACTCCCGTTCCCCAGGCACTGGGGGCCACAGTGCTCATCTCCGCGGCTCCATTCTTCGTGCTCTTCCTCATCCCAGTGGAGTCAAACTCGCCCAGGCATCGCTCTCTGCTCCAGATCTTGCTCAGTTTTGCCTCTGGGGGCCTCCTGGGTGATGCCTTCCTGCACCTTATCCCTCACGCTCTGGGTAAGTAACCTCGACTCTGCCAAAAAGCTTACTCTGCCTTCTCGGGTTTTCCAATGGTCCTCAAATACCCATCCAATGTGCCGTGCATCCCCTTTTTTTTTCTGCAGAGCCGCATTCTCACCACACTGTGCAGCAGCACGGACATGGACACTCCCACAGTGGTGAGAAGGATCTTGATGGGAACAGGGATTGGGATGCTGGGAAAGGTCTGCCTCTGCCAATCTTCACCTCACACTGGAGGAGGAGCCCAGAGTCTGTGCCTCCCTTCATGCTTCAATGCCTCTGCTCCCAGGCCAGGGCCCCATCCTCTCTGTGGGACTCTGGGTCCTCGGTGGGATTGTCGCCTTCCTCGTGGTGGAGAAATTTGTGAGACATGTGAAAGGAGGGCACGGGCACAGTCACACACATGGAAGCCATGGACATGGGAAACAGGGTGAGCCTACCTTGCCTGCCACAGAATGTATTCAGGCTCCTCTGTTGGAGCGGGGTTCTTATGGAGAACACATCAGAGGCTCTGCCCTTGCTCTGATCAACTCTTCTTCTCCCTCAGAGTGTCCTGCAAAGGAAAAGCCCAGCTCAGAGGAAGAAGAAAAGGAAATGGGGGGTTTGCGGAAAAGGAGAGGAGGAAATGGCTCCAGGGATGGGCCAGCGAAACCTCAGAATCGGGAAGAAGAAAAAGAAGAAAAAGCAGGTTCAGGTACAGAATGAGTGGTTGTTGAATTTCACAGAGTGTGTGCTGGAGGTGATGGATGGCTATCTAGATAATCCCTCTAATGAAGGGACACTAGGACCAGTGATGGTGGCCTTCAATCGTCTTGTCTTCTCTTTGCAAAAGACCTTCGTGTGTCTGGGTATCTGAATCTGGCTGCTGACCTGGCACACAACTTCACAGACGGCTTGGCCATCGGTGCTTCCTTCCGTGGGGGCCGAGGACTAGGGATCCTGACCACAATGACAGTCTTGCTGCATGAGGTGCCTCATGAGGTCGGGGACTTTGCCATCTTGGTCCAGTCTGGTTGCAGCAAAAAACAGGTTGGTGCCAACAGCCTGTCATTAGTTCCTTACAAGCTGTACTACCGTCAACAAGTCTTTTTATTAGATCGGGGTGAGTTGTTTCCTTTGCCCATGCTCTGTATTGCTGCACTGTGACCCTCACACGTGTACAATTTGATGCACAGTCTGGAAGGGCCTGGTCTGTTCTAGTGCTCCTCAGGCAGGGTCTCACTTGCCTTGTGGCCAGGGAGCCCCAGACAGCTGCCTGCCTCTGCTTCCCAGTGCTGGGATTGTGAGCACCTTGACCACACTTGCCTTCCTGTGCAGGTGCCTGGGATCCAGGTTCCTGCCCTCACGCTCATGCAGGAAGCATATCAATGGAGCCATGTCCCCAGCCCCTTAGCTGTCCTCTGATTCTCCAGAAATGTGGACACCTATGCAGCTGACCCACCGGTCACACTTGACTCATAGCTGTTGGTGATCATGTCTTTCTCTTTTCTGCCCACCAGGCAATGCGTCTCCAGCTCCTGACCGCAGTAGGGGCACTGGCTGGCACAGCATGTGCCCTTGTCACCGAAGGAGGGACAGTGGGCAGTGAAGTGGCAGGTGGGGCGGGTCCTGGCTGGGTTCTGCCATTCACTGCAGGTGGTTTTATCTATGTAGCAACAGTGTCTGTGTTGCCTGAGCTGTTGAGAGAGGCATCCCCATTACAGTCACTTTTGGAGGTGCTGGGGCTCCTGGGAGGAGTTGTCATGATGGTACTGATTGCCCACCTTGAGTGAGGGGTGGAGTAGTCTGTCCTACCCTGCCCTGATTCTCCACCCCTACCTCCCAGATAAAGACAGTTGGGAGCCCTGGCCAGTGTTACTTGCCAGAGGAAGGAGTTTTAACCTTGGAGGATGATGTCTGGTATTTGGGGCCTTAAAGGTATGACAGTCAACACAGAGTATAAGAGGTCAGAGGGTCCAAAGTGTTGGACACTGCCCAACAGTATTGTTGGTTTCGGAGGAATGGGGCCATGGAGAAGACTAGGGTGACAGTAGCATATCTGGTGGTCCCTACCCTACTTGTTTTCCCATCATCAACATGCCACACAGGGTCCTCCAAGGTCCCTCTCCTTCTGAACTGGTTAGTGGTGGCTTGAGGGAAGGAGTGGGGTAGACATCAATCGTGTGTCCTGATTTGGAAGTAGCAGGGTGGGAGAGTGCTCCTTGGTAAAATCTCACAACCTGATTTAGTTTTGTTTCTGTTCCTTTTATATCACTGTTTGAATGGGTAGGGAGGAACGGTGACCCTAAATAAAGTGCTTGGATCTTCCACTTCACATGCAGTCTTTGTTTTTTGGGGGAGTGAGGCCTCCAGTCTTCCTGATTCCCCAAGTCCCCAAGGGTCGTGATGGTGACCACGCCCCCACAGTGGGATGTCGTCCGATGTGTCACTTTGGCTAAAGGTGTTTTCCATTGGGTCGGGTTCGGCTCTTGTCACGCCCCCAGTGTGCTCAGATTGGCCTGGGCTCAGCGCCCCGCCCACCCCCATCAGCCATGGCGTCTCAGCTCCGGCTCCGCTCCGCGCTGGCCCTGGTCACAGGTTCAGGGGTTCCCTCCCCGGGCGGGTTGGAGTGCTTAGGCCATGTCAGTGAGCGCCATCCCTGGGGTCCCTGTCCCTCTTGTCCGAGTTTCATTAACTTTGCGCTCCGTGACCTCTGACCTCCGCCCGTCTCCTTCCGCTACCGCGGACTCTCAGGTGCCGGTAGCGGCATCGGCCGTGTGATCAGCGTGCGCCTAGCGGAAGAGGGCGCCGCCGTGGCCGCCTGCGACCTGGACGGGTCAGCAGCACAGGACACCGTGCGTCTGCTGGGCGTCCCGGGGAGCGAGGACGGGACGCCACGTGGGAAGCACGTTGCTTTCCAGGCGGACGTGTCGCATGCCCCCGCAGTCAGGCACCTGCTGGAGCAAGTACAGGTGAACCAAGCACCGCGCAGCATAGCCTCGGCCCGGCCTTTGTGGTCTTTGGTGTTAGCCCCCCCTCCCTCCCTCCCATAGGCCTGCTTTTCTCGCCCGCCATCTGTCGTTGTGTCCTGTGCGGGCATCACACGCGATGAGTTTCTGCTTCACATGTCAGAAGAAGACTGGGACAGAGTCATAGCTATCAATCTCAAGGTGGTGACCTCTGAACCCGTGACTTGTGCCCGCCCCCAGCCTGGGGAAGGGCTTGGAGAAGGGCTGCCACCCCGGCTGATTCCGCTAGCCTTGTTACCCTCTCGTGCCAGGGTACCTTCCTAGTCACTCAGGCTGCAGCCCAGGCTCTGGTGTCCAGTGGCTGTCGCGGCTCCATCATCAATATCAGTAGCATCATTGGAAAGGTCAGGTTGAGTCGGGCTGGGCCAGCAAGCCACGTGGGCACTGGGAAGCTATTCCTGACTCACCCTAGGTCTCTGACTCACCATAGGTGGGGAATATCGGACAAATAAACTATGCGTCCTCTAAAGCAGGAGTGATTGGGCTCACCCAGACTGCAGCGCGCGAACTTGGACGGTGGGTCAGACCATAGGCACCCTGCTGAGGGAGGGGTTGGCCAGTATTCTTTCCAGGGTCAGCATCCATTCTTCCTCCTGCAGACATGGGATCCGATGTAACTCAGTCCTCCCAGGGTTCATTGCAACACCCATGACCCAGAAAATGCCAGAGAAAGTGAAGGACAAGGTAGGCTGTGGATGGAGGGAGATTGCTGGGCACAGTACAAACAGTAAGTATTCCAGACATACACTTAATGAGAAATGAAAAAATAAGAAAACAAAAGTCCATAAAAGAAACTTCCAGCCACATGTTTCCTTTACAGGTAACTGCAATGATCCCGTTGGGACACATGGGGGACCCTGAGGGTGAGCATGGGTTGGGAGAAGGCTCTAAGGAGATCCTTAAATCTGTAATATTTTTAAAGGGTCGCATAGGAATTAATGATTGGTTCAGGCTCTGGGTTTTGCGGGAGCATAGCCACTCTGTATCAAAGGAAGTGAGCCTGCCCCTCCCCCACCTTCCCTATAGATGTGGCAGATGTGGTCGCATTCTTAGCATCTGAAGACAGTGGATACATCACAGGGGCCGCAGTGGAAGTCACTGGTATGAGGCCTTCGTGGGGAGGGCGGGTACAGAAAGTGAGGAGACCCTGCAGCCCGAGGGGCAGAGGTCCCTTAACTAGACCAGGGACAGAAGTGGATGTACCCATATACGTCACCACCCATGCACCTGTCTGGATCTTTCCGCCCCTCTCAGGAGGTCTTTTCATGTAACTGCAGCATGGAAGCTGGACTCTGCTCGCTCCCCCACCACCGCCTGGCCTCCTGCTGATGAGGACGCTAAGTTCCCAGGCTTCAAACGGGGTGGTAGTGTGCAGCTCAGGCATGCTGAATATGGAAGGCAGGGGTGCCTGTGACCCTAATAAATTCCAAATCCTCTTCCCTGCCACCTCCGTCCGGTTCTTCTTGTGTCCAAGCCCTCAGACCCTTTCCCACCTCCCCCTCTCTCCCCTTTCCGAAGGATTGTTCCCTTTCACTGCCTGGTCTCCCAGGGCAACCCCCGCCGCCGGGTGTGAGAGTAAAGAGTGTTTGTCACTGTGTGTGCCTGACACTCTGGGTCTTTTCAGAGGGGATTCTGTGCCCACCACCCTTTCATTGCATCTGCAGCACCAGTCATGCCCCCCATTCCCCGGGTCCTCATGGCCCCCAAGGGTGATTTGTTCTTGGCCCCATCCTGGTGTCCAGTCTGGCCTTGGAAGGGGGTCTTGGAACAGGTGGCCCACCCCCACCCCTCCTTTCTCTGTTCCCCTCCCTTCTCTCCACCTTACAATAGCTGCAGCCGGCCTGGGGTCCGATGGGGGGGGATTAGGGGAGGGGGCCAGGATTAGGGGAATGAACTAGCCGATGAAAGGGGCTGGAGAAGAGCAGAAGGGAGGGGGCTGGGAGAAGGAGGAGGAAGGGGAGGGGGTCCACGCTAATCGACTCTGGCGCCCACATAAGGACTGGCCACGGACTGAAGGAGAGAACAGGGAAGTAGGGGGTAACTGGGGTTGGGGGCGAGGGGACCCACTGATAACTTGTCCCACAGACAGGCCACCCCTGGCAGCCGCAGCGCAGGCTGGCGGGCGACAACGCCCGTCACGGTCTCCGTCCCGGTGCCCCTCGTTCCCTGCCCTCAACCGGGATGGCCGGCTCCTTCCTCTTCTCGCTCCTCTCCGCCCGCTTCCTTCACTCCGAGTCCCGGAGAAGCCCTGCCCACCTTCCCACGCCACACATTTCACTCGTGTGTTCCCCGACTCCCCCACCAGGGCTCCATCTGAGTCCCCGCTTCCGCGTGGCGTCTCCATCCCAGGTGCCTCCGGTGCGCCTCCCTCCCCGCCCCGGGCCGCGGCTCCTGATTGTCCAAACGCAATTCTCGAGTCTCTGGCTCCGGCCGAGAATTGCGTCTGGACGTCCCGAGCCGCCGCCCCCAAACCACGAGGGGGAGAGGCCAGACAGAGCGCGGGGACGGGCCCGGGACACCCGGGACCCCGCCGCAGCCCTCGGAGCTCAGGGCGCGCGCCCTGCAGCAGCGGTGCAGCTGCGCGTGGCTTTCCAGGCATCCCAGGCAGGGCTTGCGGGAAGCTGGGGAATCATCGCCCGCGCCGCGGAGGGGAGCTCCCCACGTGTACCGGCACCCCCACCCCGGCTGCTCCGCTCGCGCCCCGCGGGGGAGGGGAACCCGGTTCCACGGCACGCTCCACGCGCGACGTGAGGGCGGTGACGTCTCCGTCGCAGGGTAGGATGCAGGGAGGGCGGAAGTGACGTCGGGCCTCAGCGCCCGGGCCATGGCGGCGGCGGCTGCTGCGAGAGCTGCGGCGTGAGTGGCAGCTGTGGATCGAGCGGATCAGGGCGACGGAGCCCGGGCTTCCCCGGGGAGAGGCCCGCGGCCGGGCAGCGGGACGGCCGGAGCCGGGTGAGGGGCCGCGGGGCGCGCGCTCAGGGCCTGGGGGCGGGGTCTGCAGAGGGGCGGCCCCGACAGCGTCCCCTTCCCCCTCCGCAGACTTCCCTCTACCGAGCCCAGCTTGGAGGGGGTCTGTGCCCCGTCACCATGACGACGCCGGCGAATGCCCAGAATGCCAGCAAAACGTGGGAACTGAGTCTCTACGAGCTGCACCGGACCCCGCAGGTGACAGGGATCTTCCAGTCCCAACTTCCTCCCCCCCATCACACTGTGCTTTCCCCGACTCTGCGTTTGAATCACCTAGCGCTTCCACACATACCTTATTTAATCCGATTTAACCCCTCAGAACAGCCATGTCAGGGAGCTAGCTACAGCAGCTAGCACGGTAAGCAGACGCCAGAAGTTACCTTCTCTCTCGTCTCTGCTTGCATGTGTCAGTGTACACAGACTCGTCCTACGAGTTAGAGTAGAACTCTCTCTCCCCAGTATTCTGACTTAGTGCAGCGGGACATCGGAATCTGTTTTAACAGGCACCTGAAATTCTAGTATAGGTACACTTGCTTCTTTGAGTTTTAAGAATACCGGTCGAGGCTGGGTGTGGTAGAGCACTCCAGAAGCAGAGGCAGGTGGACCTTGTAAGTTTGAGGTCAGCCTGGTTCTACATAGTGAATCCAGGGCAGCTAGGGTTACACACATATTGAGACCCCCCCCCCGAAAAAAAAGCAAACAAAAAAATTAGTTTGTTGAATAAATATTCGCCAAGCCATAGACCTGTGCCATCTGTACACCAACCCTAGTATCTCACCAGATGTCAGGTCCTTCTGTTGCAGAACCCCTTGTGAGTGCATCCTCATCCCTTCTGGGTAATTTCGGAGCCCTTGGTCTCCTCCGTCCCAGAACTTCCATCCTCCACAGTTGGCCAGCATGCCCTCCAGATTCTACCACCTTATCTTTCTCAAAGCTTGCTTCTGAAATTCCTTTTCCCCAATCCTCTGCCACCTGCTAACGGCCCAGGAAGCTATTATGGATGGGACAGAGATTGCGGTTTCTCCTCGGTCGCTGCATTCAGAGCTCATGTGTCCCATCTGCCTGGACATGCTGAAGAACACAATGACCACCAAGGAGTGCCTCCATCGCTTCTGCTCTGACTGCATTGTCACCGCCCTGCGGAGCGGGTAAAGGAGGGCCTAGTCTGCAACGGGGCAAGGGGACCCGTGGGCATCAGTGACGGGAACTGACTCTATAGAGCTCCCATTCCGTTCCCCACCCCCATCCCAGGAACAAGGAGTGCCCAACCTGCCGGAAAAAGCTGGTCTCCAAGCGGTCCCTACGGCCAGACCCAAACTTTGATGCCCTGATCTCCAAA